GAATATCGATTAATACCATAAACGCAATGTCAAGAAATTGTCCAAGTGCCAATGACAATTTGTTCTCATTTTTCAGTACGTGACCCCCTCTAATTTACTCAACAAATTAACTCGGTTAAACGAATGATCCGTATCAATTTTTCTTTTTTATAAATAAATGACAGAATAAATCCAGTACCCGAAAACAAAGAACCGATCAATATTTAATTTATTTCATCAAATTCAAGCGGATAAATGAACGATTCGTATAAATTTTTTTTTCTTATAGAGAAAATGAAAGAGTAAATCAGTACCCGAAAATCGAATATCGATCCAATACCGTAAATCTGTGTCAGAAAGACAATTGTCAAGTGCAGATGACCCTTGTGTCCTCATTTTCAGGTACTTACCCCTCTAATATATATTCAATTAAATATAACTCGGTAAAACGAATGATCCGTCACAAATTTTTCTTTTCTATTTAAATTAAATTACAGAATAAATCAGTACCGAAAACCAAAACCGATCAATATTTAATTTATCATCAAATTAACGCGGATAAATGAACGATTCGTATAAATTTTTTTTCTTATAGAGAATATCAAAGAGTAAATCAGTACCGAAAATCGAATATCGATCAATACCGTAAATCTGTGTCGAAAATTGTCCAAGTGCAATGACAATTTGTTCTCATTTTTCAGGTACTTACCCCTCTAATATTATTCAATAAATTAACTCCGATAACGAATGATCCCGTATCATTTTTCCCTTTTTCTTATAAATAATTACAGAATAAATCAGTACCGAAAACAAAGATCGATTAAACCTAATTTGTCATCAAATTAACCGCGGGACTCTAACAATCCTAGCATATGAACGATTCCCGTCAATGAATTTTTTTGCTTAGGTAAGAACATGACGATAAATTATAGAAAACCGGAAGACCTGAATATATTATAAAGAATGTCAAGAAATGGTCAACTGCAATACAAGTTGTATTCATTTGCAGGGTATCTACACAAATTTACTTCAAAAAATTAAGCGACCGGAAACCCAATTACGTGAAAAAGATACGCCTGTCATGTGAACAGCTTCTTACCTGAACTTTCCGACGAATTGAAATCAGAAGAATTAGTAAGAAAATCCATGAATTGATTAATAACATTTACCAGACAACTCAGAGAATCCACTCTACTATTGGATCGGTGTGTGTATTTCCGTCCAGTGTAAGCGCATCGACACATAGATACCGCCGCGCACCGTTACAAATCGCGGACTCTCCCGTCGACTGATCTGTGTCATGAGTCCTGGCGAAGTTACTTTTTTTTCTATAGACAATGAGCACGAGAGTAGAGCATGCCAAGTACCCGAAACAGTGCCGAAATATCCCGATACGCAATATACCTCCAACGTAATTCTATCATCGACAAAGTGTCCAGAAAAATTGTCCCAATGCCCCAATGACTCAACTGGGTTCTCCCGCGATTTTTTCACGAGGACATTCGTATCCTCCACCCTTTACACGCTTAAAGTTTAACTCACACAGCAAATTTAACCCTCGAATAACCGAATGATTCCATTAATTTCAGATGTATTATACTTTATTTCTTATATAAGCAAATGATGAGAATAATTAGTACCAGAAAATTGAAGGGTCGTTGAACCTCTCCGTGAACACGAGACTGCGTCGCGGAGCGGCACCGACGGCGCGTACTTTTTTTCGGGCCTGCGGGTGAAAACGACGTTGCACCGCGGCTCTGGTGGGCGCGACCTAAAAATAGATCACGCTTTCGGCAATTGTTTTGACTAATAACGCGCTTTGCAACCTACTCGCCGGCGGCGCCACTGCGCGGCGGTATGCGTCGGTGTTACGCGCGTTGTGTCGCGGTGGCGCGCGTGTGTCGCGCGCCGCGCGTCGCTACAGTATCGCACCGGTGTTTCCAGATGGAGAGACGAGAGAGTCACGCATGCGCATTAAATGAACTCTGGTTGTGTATCGCGCGCAGAAATTTCACTTCGATATCGAGGGTCGCGCGCGATCCGGCCTCTCGACTACTGGGAAAACGTCGCTAGCAATTCCATGTGCGCACACGCCGACGCGAGACTGGGGTCTTTTCTTCTTTTTGCGTGCTGCGTAACGTGAGGGATTGAACTTGCTCGCGCACGGACGCACGCGGAAGTGCGCGATTATGGCCGGGAACGACATCAAGCAAGCTCTCAGAAAGCTGCAATTTCCTTTTTGCGCCAGTGAAGCTCTACGCAGAATAGGTACGGGTCTTGTAGGTTATCGATGCTTTTAACCGGAGAGCATGCAACTCTCCCGCCCCCTCTCCCGGTTGTGCGGTAGCGTTGTGTCAGGCGAGGTTGCGCCGAGGTCGTGTTGAAGTAAACAAATGCATCATGTTTCGCACTTTGCGCGCGCGCGAAACATGATGCGTATATTACTCTCTTCCACTTCCACTCTGCTACCGATCTGTTCTGTTTTCCTTCACATTACAGAGATACTCTGCTGCAGACCTGGCAAGCAGGTCGATCTACAAATGGATCTGATATCGGAATTCGTATTCGGAGAGCTTGACAAGCGAAAGAGACTTAAAATGAGTTGGGCGACAGAGGAACTGCAACTGGTGCAGATTCTGAGTGAATTCTTCCAGGGTTCGGGTGGTAGTCCCGCGGTGCGCAATGCCCTCTTCTTATCACTCTTCCCAGCGGACAATCCTAGGTACGAGACTCTGGGTAATTTGGTTTCCTTGGCTATTACCACAGAAAGGAAAGCGGTCCTCAACGCAACTGGCATCTGGATGCAGCAATTAGGCTCCACCTCGCCGCAGAGCGTCGGCCTGGCGAGGCATCTGCTCGACGATTATCTCGTGCTTACTCCGTGTTCCATCGAAAGACTGAAGCAACTGTCTGTACTCGTGCCACATTTCACTGCCAATTTGCTGACAGCGATAGGTGAAGTTTACGAGGATAAAAATCCACCTGTCGAGTTGCTTCAGCTAGTGGGCGAGTGGATCGACAAAAATCCAGACTTATTATTGATCCCTCTGATGGATAATCCAGCATTACCGACTGGTGGAATCCCAATGACACCGATAACACCTATAGCTGGCCTGTTGAGGTATCTTACCCTGTTGTAACCTTGGTTGCGCACAATAGAAAGGAAGAAGGCGCGAATGGCCCTAATGGTAAATACATCTCGATGTATATTTCAATTCACATTTATATTCCATCTACAGATGGTGTATATTGAGTCCTCTACGTAGCAATATGTCAGAAACTTTCAGCGACGATCGGGTAAGTCAATGCGCACAATATTTTTCTTTTTAACTAAATTAAGCTTAAACTTAAGGACCCATGGGAACCCTTTATTAGCTTTAAGAGAGTTAAGGAAAACCACACTTTGACCACTTTAGAGGTGAAAGTTGGTTGTGTGAAATTGATCGAGTTAAGGCTCCTGGTTACATCCATAAGATGACACTTGCAATCAATTGAACACATTCCCGATGAAACGCCGATTCCCCTTTGCTTTGCTCCGACCCGACCAATCGATAAATAATCATAAAATTAACACAATACGTAACCGTTTCTAATCTACCTTTCCTCGCGAATATTTCCTCATATTCATTTCTCGCCTATTTCTCCATTGTTTCGACAAAAGAGAAAGTTTCCGAGTATTTTAGAAATGTGCTCAATCGATCGCAAGTGTGTCTCGCTATATAAATATATCGTCATATTTTGGTGTAAGCTGTAGAGAAGTTTTTGGCATGGAATTCTGCCTCGTTTTTAACGTCATCATTCAAGATACGAGGAGAGGGGCGAGCCTCGACAGCCGCATATTTCGCACAAAGAGACTTACGTACGTGCTATGTACGAGTAATGTGCTTGTATGAGACATGTACAACTTCATTTTTCCCAGAAAAAAATTAAATAAGTATATCAATAACGAACGTGTCGATCCACAAGATTGGTGGGAGGAAGATTGTCATGTATACGTGACCAGCGACCGTCGAGTTTAAAGTTATCAACTTTCGATAATTCAACTTTTAACTGACCAATTAGGTACATACTCAGACTACTCGTCAAAGGGAACCGCAGATATTGTACTCAAAGCTCCAACAGTTGCTCATGGACTCGATGTCACGTTTGAAGAACAGTGGAAGCAACAAGCATGCGATATCGGCACAACATCTGGCATCCACGACTCGTCTATTGGCGATGAACGTATCGGGACAGTGGCGCAAATTGGCCATAGAGCGACTCGCGCAAGCCCTCAGCATGGCTATGATGGCAGACTGTATTTATGGAAATAAACGTACACACATTTGTTATATACGTGCGCGCGTACGCACATGTGATATGTCTCGAGTATACAAATCGTATATAAACCTTGTTATTACAGAGGAACTACTGGCACACCTACAATCACTGTCGGATTCGCATGGTTTGATAGAATGGGTTTGGGAGACTTATGCGTCCAGAGACAACGTCCTGAGACAAACTTACTAATTGCTGATATACTGCTCATCAAAGCTCTCTTATCACACATTTATATTGTTTAAATCTGTTACATCGTGAAAGGCGATACTTGTACACACAGTATCTATCTAGAATGGTTTAAACGTCCGTTTTAATTTCAATTCTTGCAGTTTCTTTTTGTCCAACTCGAACTTTTTTCGCAATTCTGCCAAGTCTGAAAAGAAAGAAAGAGAGAGAGAGAGAGAGAGAAAAAGGGGGCAAGTAGTTGATCAATCACCTGTATGTATGAAAAAAAAAAAGGAAAAAAATCTCATAATTGACACAAATATGCCTTACTCTGCTTCTTCGCCTCGCGGATTTGAAAGGTGTAGAAATTGACCAACTGTTTCTTCTTCTTGCTCTGCTTTTCCTTTTGCAACAATTTACCGATCGTAGACTCCTTCCTACTTGGTGCAAACTGTCCCCTTTTCTTTCGACCTGTTACAGTTGTCCAACCATCATCATCTTCTGCATCCTTTTCCCTTGCGACACGGTCATTTATACTCTTGTCGTACAATGCCATATATTCCTCAATTTCTCTTCTTGTTATTTGTTCATCGCATATGGAATCATTATATTCTTTGGACCATTCTGTTTGTGTAATTAAAGAAATTAGGTCTTTCGTCCTTGCGTACGTGACGCATTATTCCGACAATGCAGAAAATATAACTCACTTTCTAATCCTATAAGATGTATGTTCCTATCATTGTTGAGTGTAATTACACAATCCTTTGAGAGTTCCATTGCCTTATCCAAGGAGGACTCTGTTTCAAAAACGATATATGCTGTTTTAAATCCTTTTGCGTTTGTAAATGTAACTGAGCGTACATTTCCGCAATACTCGGCAAATGCATATTTCAAACTGTCAGTCGTTGCATACGGTGGTACATTGAATACAAAGAGAGTTTGGTTTTTGGGATACTTGAGTTCTTGATTTCTCACGGAATGCTCCTTGATGAATAGCTCATGCTTGTTCGTGCTATCCATGTCGAAACGAAGCCATAGTGCTTTAATTTAAGATTTTTTACTTAAGACTTTAACGCGTTAGATGAGTAGAGACGGAATTGGGATAGAATAGATTAAGTTGAGTGAAGTATGATCCCTCAAGATACACCTTTTTTTTTCTTTCGCGTAATTTAAACTTAATCGTAAATATAAAATATAATAACAATATAACAGTAATAATGATAATGACAATGACGATAACGACAACGACGACGACGACGACAACGACAACGACGACGACGACGACGATGATGATGATGATAATACCTACATTTAAAACCTTTTGCACTTTGTTTATTAGCTCCCATGTTCAATTTCTAACCTTTAACCACAGACTTCTATAGTATAACTAGACTGCTAACTCCGACTCAATACATGAAATACCCGGAAAGTATGTACCGTCCTGGTGTCCGACATTCACGTCTGATTGGTTGAATCAAAACATATTTCTTCTAATTGGATGGGTCATATTGCTTACATATCCCCTCTCCTTGTGGACTCCAATTTACGCATGCGCAGATGTTCGATTCCCTTATGTAATACATACTTTTTGGGGTCAATTTTGTGCTACAGTATATAAGCACATACTTCTATAGTATAACTACTGACTGCTAACTCCCTTATATACTGTAGCACAAAATTGACCCCAAAAAGTATGTATATTACATAAGGGAATCAAACGTCTGCGCATGCGTAAATTGGAGTCCACAAGGAGAGGGGGTATGTAAGCAATATGGCCCATCCAATTAGAAGAAATGTGTTTTGATTCAACCAATCAGACGTGAATGTCGCACACCAGGACGGTACATACGGTTTTCGGGGTCATGTATTGAGTCGGAATTAGCAGTCTAGTTATACTATAGAAGTCTGTGCCTTTAACCAGACACACTTTAAGCGCTTTTTAGCGTGGTCTACAATGGCCGTAAGCAGTGAGAAGTAAGCGTGAACAGTGAGAAATGGACCAACTAGTTGATTATTTTTGTCATAGTCGACTGTGATTGGTTTATTTCTTACCGCTTACGCTTACTTCTTACTGCTTAAGGCCATTGCACGTGAAAAAATTTTAGTCGTAACCGTAAGTCCGTAAGCAAATTGACCAATCACAATTCGTATATTTCGAGATGCTGGATTGTGATTGGTCAATTTGCTTACGGACTTACGGTTACGACTAAAACTTTTGTACGTGCAATGGCCTTAAAGGTCATCACACGTAGAAAAAATTTTAACCGTAACCGTAAGGTTGTAAGAAAACTGACCAATCACAGTCGATTATTATAATGTCACAAGAGAAAGGATCGACTGTGATTGGACAGTTTTCTTACAACCTTACGGTTACGGTTAACATTTTTCTACGTGTGATGGCCTTAAGGCTCGTCTACATTAGCTGTAAGAGTAAGACTGTAAGGTTGCAAGACACGAAATGAAATATTTTCATTCGCTGACAGCTTACGTTACAGCCTTACAGCCTTACTCTTACAGCTATTGTAGACGAGCCTTTAACTTGTCATTGTAGACCACGTTTTAAGCGTCGTCTACAATGGCAGTAAGCAGTAAGAAGTAAGCGTAAGCGGTAAGAAATAAACCAATCACAGTCGATTATGACAAAAATAATCAACTGTGATTGGTCCATTTCTTACTGTTCACGCTTACTTCTAACTGCTTACTGCCATTGTAGACGACGCTTTACAGAATGTCGTTAGAGAAGACCGTGGGGAGTGGGGCGCAGTTTTAAAAATATGGTTTAGTTCTAAAATGCATGAAATGAATAAGTGTCCAAGTTCCACTGTGAATAATCCAATAGTGAACATTGTGCAAAATTACAATCGTCTATATTGTATAATCGGAAATTATATTTTCTATAAATATATGTAATTTCAAAATGTGTTTCTAATCCCTCACACTCTGAAATAAAATTCATTTTCTCTTTCGAAGAAAACTAATCGAGGAACAGGACATTATAAGAGGAAGGATCGTCGTTATACTTTCTCGCTACATTCGCATCGCGAATGATCAAATAGTCGGCGAGAAGGCGACATAGTGCATATGCATATTGCACGTCGCGGAAATGCCAAGGACACATGCAGGGGCGATTAAAGCACACGGCATTCGATACACTGCGTTTCTTGCAGCCTATACGATTCGATACGGACCCTCCGAAAGATCCCAATCGTATTTTCTCCCATGCTGTTCCTCCCGTTGTTTTTCGCCATGTGAATTCACATTTTGAATACAATTTTGAACGTAGAGAATGCAAATAAACTGCATCGTAACGTCGCAACGTCGTATGTGTTTTACTTGTTGCAACTAAAACAGTGCATATAGAGAATAGTTTGTATTAATTTTACGTGAGCCTGTAATTATTGTATGAAATACAATGCAGGCATTAGAGGGAAGGGGGAGGGGGGATAGAGAGAGAGAGAGAGAGAGAGAGAGAGAGAGAGAGAGAGAGAGAGAGAGAGAGAGAGAGAGAGAGAGAGAGAACGCGGCAGATCATCGATCTGAAATGGCGCGTATGCCCTATCCGAGATCCTTCTCCCCTTTCTTTCTTTTGCGTCAATCAACGTGCGACAATAGTCGCGCGCAAATGGTGACGCTGACCCGTTTTACCCATGCGATCAATTCGACGCTCGTCGAATTCACGGCACAGGCCGCAAATATTGATCAAAGCGTCGACTCGACTGCCGACAGTGCGTCCATAGTGATCGCGGTAGTTATGTGCGGAGGAATTGTCACACGAGCGTCGCGCACACAGAAATCGCTGGGTTTTTTACTGCTGATCTTCTCGATCGCTCGCTTGCCGCTGTTGCGACACGTCGATGCGAAGATTCTTCACGGTGACCTGGTGACGAGCGAAGTAATTGCAAACGGAACGTTCGTAAGCGAGTCGTTCGTGATTTGCGCGGGGCCTCGATCCGGCTTTCCGGCTTCCACATGACCGATAATCGACCGTTACCTGCGTATCGTCGAACGTGCGTGAAAATACGACAATATCCCCTGGGAGTCTTCCTTCCCGTTGTGATAATTGCGGGACGATCGGATATTAGTAGATTCTTGCTAAATTAATAAATTAATCTAAACGTAGCCTGAACACATATTCGCAATATTTATCATTTCATCGTAAAGTGGTTTCATCGTAAAATGGTATTGATATGGTTTGAATTCGTAATTGAACGCGTTTCGACAGTCTCGACGAAAGGTGCAGGACAGTCGAGACCAGTCACTTGGGTTTCTTCGTTCTCTTAGAATAGACTGTATCTCGTGTGTAGCTTTTATAAAAGTATGAACACCGGGTAACATATTAGATATATACGGAAGAAACGCCGTTCACCTCGCGCTGCGTTTTAGTTTCGCGTTTCAACAAACGTCAACGATTCGCGTCTCTCGCATTCGTCAAAAATTCCCGCGCAGGTTCCCGCCCGCGGCGCGCCGGGAATGGGGGGAGGGGGGAAACGATTCGTAGGAAGAAACGGAGTTGTCGAAAAAAGTCGAAAAACTGTCCGACGCTGGGATCTTTTTCTTTTAGAAGTGGGCATTCGTCGCGAGATTCTGTTTCCTGACGGAACGCGGCACGTTTCGTTATCACTTTCGACTGGGCGGCGAGGAGCGCGACTTGAATCTCCTGCTGTACTACGATGCGGCTCACCAATGGCCCAGCGTCTATCCGTCCAGTAAGACGTGCAGAGAGAAGGAGAGTATCCTCGATGTTGACCACGGTCAGATAATACCGCTGAATACGTCGATGCGACTGTCGTCGGGTTGCGCGCGGGGTGACGACGGTATCGTTCGATGCGACAGTCAGAGGAGATTCATCTCGGCACGGCCGAGATGGTGGTTCGTGGCTCTGGCCGACTGTTCCTCCGAGGACGGTTTAAACGTCACCTACTGGATGTCGTTGACCAACGCGCCGCCCGGCACATTTTGGAAGGAGCATTTTTCCGCGGACGAATTCTGCAAGTGATCCGACTCACTCACACACACACACAGTTGGCACGTTTACCTTAATCGCGCCTGTCGTGCAATTTGTGTTGCAGACATACTGCCGGTGCTGATAACGACCGCCTGTGTCTACGTGATACTGCTGACGCTCAGTTTCCACATTGCTCTGCAACTACGTTCCAGAAGGCTGCTGCATATATCCTACAAGTTGTTTATGGCCTCTCTGCTGTGTCAGTTACTGGGCGCGCTGTGCGAGATCTACAGTTACGTTAATCTCGGCCTGAGAGGAGTGCCCGCGGCGAACGCATATTTGCTGGGTCAGCTTGCCGAGGCGTGCTCCGAGACTCTCTACACGGTGCTGATGCTGCTGCTCGCGCTTGGTTACACGGTCACCAAGAGCGTCCTGACGACGTCGCAAGTACGATGGCTCGTCCTGTTTGTCGGCGCTACCGCCTTCTTGCAAATGACGCTGTACATCTACGAGTTCGAAATATTTGATCCGGGACTGGTGCTGTATATTTACGAGTCACCGCCGGGCTACGGACTGATAGCGCTTAAGCTGATCGCCTGGTTCGTGTTTATCACTCGTTGCTGCAAGACCATCAGGAAGCTGAACACAAAGCTTCATTTTTATGCATCGCTTCTCTCCCTGGGATCGGCGTGGTTCCTCTGTCATCCGTTAACGGTATACGATCGATTAGGCGAATATAGGCGATTTCACGAGAGGCGGCAAATACTCGGCTCTTCCGCCGAGAGTAGTATAGTTTTGCCTCACAATTTTGTTCTCACGATATAGGAGAGAGATTCTTTGGAGAGATGCATTTGTGTTCCGTCCGCTTCTTACAGGTACTGACCGTCACGATATTCGTGGACCAATGGGTGAGGGAGAGCGTCGCCAAGGGAAGTTCCCTTTGGATTGTCTTCTTGGGTCACGTAACGTTTTTATATGTAACACGACCGTCCGTGAACAACAAACGTTTTCCATTCCACATTAGAACATGCCAAGTCGTGCCTATAGGCGGCCGAGGGCAGGATCACGGCTACGAACCTGGTCCTCGAACTGCAGTTACAGCATTTACCATCGCACGGACACCAGCTTATCTTAGTCAATCGCACTGAAAGTACTGTGAACGAAAGGAAGAAACAAATGTGCAAGAAATCTGGGAGAATCTATATAGAAAAGTGCAACTATACCAGTGGCGATGCATCGTTACTCAAGCGGCACAAGAAGCAATTTTTCTAATACCAAAATATTTTTCTACTACTGTATACACGATACGGCGCGTATGTTTACATGACGCAGCGCAGCTCTGCATCATGTACGTACGTGAACGTACGTTACGCGAATCTCTTTACGATTATTCCCTTCTCACAAAAGTATTTATAATAAAGTACAAAATGCCACTCTGGTTTGTTATCCTCATATTTACATCCTCTCTTTCTTTCCCTCTTCACTCTCCTTTTCTTCCTCCTCCCTCCCTCTCTCTCTCTCTCTCTCTCTCTCTCTCTCTCTCTCTCTCTCTCTCTCTTTCCAGAGGATAGAGTCGAGAATCAAATTACACATTATTCAGGACTTGTCATTTTCACACGTACATGGCAACACGAGAAAACTCATACGAATCGTTCAGAAAGAAAAATGATATCAAAATTATCTATATAACAATATGCGTGTATTCTATTCAAGTCCCATTTCACATACTTTACAATTATTAATGCCATTTGACATCAGTCGCAGGAGCCGTCGAGCCAACCGTCTCTCCATCTTTGATTCACTAGCTTACAATCAAATTCTGGCTTCATGAGCTTCTTGTTCACTATATTATGAAGGCGGCAAAGCCACTGACTCAGTTCTTCTTGGGACCTGGTCTCTGGTGGTGAATATTTCAATTGCTCTTGTAGATCCTCGGCACATGTGTGGCAAGGATAGAATTTAGAAAATGTATAGAAAAAGTTCTTCATGTCATCCATCTGTTTGTTGTTGGGTTGAGCGGGATAGTACGCAGCCATAGTATGCAAGAAAGCCCAAGTCTTTGAGCCTAACTCATCCTTGTCCAGAGGACAATTTTCCCGAACGACACTGACCGATGCCTGATCTTGACTTTTTTGCACCTCCTGCTGTATGAAACAGCAACATTAAGAAGCAATTTTCAATCAAGTGCTAACAAAATATGAGGGTAAAAGCTGTGTTGTGTAGAATCTAAGAATTGATAACACCTGATGTAACAAGACCTGACAGTATTCAACAGTATGATTATGTATTTATTGCCTTGCTAGATATCGACCCACCTTCTCATAAGTCTCCTTCTGTTGTTTCGCCCACGTTCTAAAGTCCGTGCAAGTTCGACACGGTCTTTCACGCGACATTTTCCAGCATACGACTGTACACTCTCGAAGATCGTCAAGTGTCACCACGTGCGTAGGTTAGAGCAGCTCTCATGCGCGACATTGTAAGAAAGATTTTCACTCCCGCGCTTTAATACTCGCGGAAAGCAGTTGTACGTTATTATTGTTATCGGTTGCAATTGTCAGGATCAGATTCATGATAGTCACAAACGTATCTTTATGATGAAAACAAAACTTTTGCACGATTGCCGCTTTTGATTGTGGCTTTTAGCCATCTTGAGAGGAAAACACAACCTAAGGACAAGAAAATCTTCTGACCTTAAAACTCCTTACTTTTACGTTGAGAATTACTCGAAGATAGGAATATTTTCGACAACGTTGTTGAATGATGCTGTTTCTTAATTTCTATCAATTTTTGTAATATACATACTTTTTTTTTCTTCTCTTTCTCTTCTTCACGTACACAACGTTTCGAAGACAGGGAGGGAACTTCCATCTAGCAATTATTTCTTTCGACTCGACGTTACTCGACAGATTTTGCAACGCGTTCACATCGGATAGAATCAACGGGACATTTCAAGTAAGTCAGGAATAAAGAAACATCTCTCTTAGATTGCCTTTGCTTTAGCAAGCCGCTGAGAATTTGTGTTTAAATTAGCCGGGAATATAACTAGTCGGAGAGAAAGGAACATCGATGTGCAATTTGTCTCGTTTGAATTTTTCGTTTAGGCCTGGTCTACAATACGTGTCGTAAGTTGGTAGAATTGGCGAGTCACAGACTGCATTCCGTTTCACGCATTATGCGCGCATTTCCTACGGTATATGTAACATGAACTATATATAAATGCGCACATATGCGTAAAACGGAACGCGGCCACAGTCGATTATTACAAAAAATAATCGGCTATAATGGCCATTCTATAATAAAGCTAGCGGCACACGGTGCTTGTTTTCGTGCTGGATTGCTCGCTGAATGAAAAGAATACTGTGTTCTGATTGGTGCATTTCCATCCATCTTCGAAAATGTACCAATCAGAACGCAATATTTTCATCCAGCAAACGATCCAACACGAAAACAAGCACCGTGTGCCGCTGGCTTAAGCTATTAGTTATAAAACATAAGAAAATAAACCAATCGGAATTCTTCATTAGATAGATTGGAGGATTTTGATTGGTTTATTTTCTTATGTGTTATGACTAGTAGCTTATTGTAGAATGGCCATAACTGGTCACTTCTAAAGGTCATTCTACAATGAGGTTGTAGTAGTATGCAGTAGAGAGTAGGTTGTAGGACGCAAGGCGTAGCGCGATTTCTTACAACCAGGCTCATCTACAATCAGGTTTCGTAAATACGTCATACGGCGTAGCAGATAACCAATCACACTTCTCCGTGTGCGCACATGCGCGTCTCGCCGTTTTGTCTTGACCCATTGTGTTGTCTTCAAATCCAATTAAATCCTGTAAGATTGATTGATACAATTGACTTTTTGATATGAAATCACTATCAATATATAATAAACATTGTCTCTTAGGATGCGCAGATAATCTTTATTTTTACCACCCTCTAATCACAATAACAAAAGACCCTTTGAACAAAGCAATAATTAAAATATATTTTTGTAATATTTTTCATACAATATATAGGTTACAATATTAAAACATTATATTAACATGATATAATCAAATTATAATACTTAAAATATCATTAATTATAATAATTATACAAAAAACATTAAAACATCACTTTTTGACATACTTTTCAGTTATTATCGATAATGGTTCCATCATGCATTCAAGATGCTTCTCAACGGGCACAGATTATACGGCAAAGGAGATAGCACTCATAATCAGATTAATATTACTGTTATTATTAATATTACTATCAATATTGTTATCAGATACAATAGTGTTGCTAGGATTTAACAGGCCCTCGCTGAGGGCTTTAGCTGTCATAGAAGACGGAGCACTTATTTGAATTAGAATTGCCTGAGTCAAGGCATCATCATCCTTCTTCTTCTTTGCAGCAAAATTGTCAGGCGGGGGAACAATGCATTTTCCTTCCGATCTGGCTTCTTTTATTTCCTTTAAAATAGATTCAGATCTCTGAGCCGAGCTCAGAGTTGAGAACATTGACGCTCCCTTTGCTGTAGCTGCAAATAACCGTCCATTTGAGCTTCGACTATCAGACGTATCAGATTTAACATCTTCTGTGGAAACAATCATACATCATCAACAATTGATGTTAATTTCACTTCACAGTATTATGAAAAAATTGTCTGTACATACTTTCAACAAACAAATCGTTATCACTGCTCCACGCATTAGACGATGACAACCCTGGAGTTTGAGGTGACGCAGATGACCTGATGAATACAGGTGGCGACGGTGAAGGAGAGAACCGGATAGATATAGGTGAGGATTTGTCAGCTTTAGATTTGAGCCTCACAGCTGCAGCGTTCTGAGTTTTTGGCAAAACATTTGTATTGTAACTACTCGATGTTCTGGGAAACAGATCGAAACATATAACTCAGTTTTGTCAACATATACCTGTACTATACACATGAAACAAAACACGTACTTGCGTGCAACAATATGATCCGCTAGGAACACGCGCTCCTCGTACAACGGCCATGTGGATATACAGGGTGTTTGATAGGTGATCATGCAGACGAAAGTTGGAGATAGATTGGGTGTAGCCGAGAGGAAAAGACATGTACCATAATGTCAAATTGGCAATAGTTACCGAGTTATTAATTAAAACACGTGAGCCAACGAGCGCGTAGAGAGCGGAGGGCGGCGGCAGTAAGCACGTAGACATTTGATACAGGCGGAGTTAGCGAGTGGCGATCGGCAAGCGCGCGCGGCGAGGGGCAACGTAAGCGACAAGAGGCGACCGCGCGCGACGAGGAGCGAGCGAGCTTTTTCTTTTTCTTTATAGCTCGCTCGCTCCTCGTCGTTCGCGCTCTCTCGCTCCTCGTCCCGCGCGTTCGCCTTTTGTCGTTTACGTTGCCCCTCGCCGCGCGCGCTCGCCTATCGCCACTCGCTGACTCCGTCTGTATCAAATGTCTACGTGCTCACTGCGGCTGTCCTCCGCTCTCTACGCGCTCGTTGGCCCACGTTTTAATTAATAACTCGATAACTATTGGCAATTTGACATTATGGTACATGACTTTTCTTCTCGGCTACACCCAATCTATCTCCAACTTTCGTCTGCATGATCAGCTATCAAACACCCTGTATATGATGCTGTTGCTCCTTGATTTTCCTTTCCCGATTTTCCTTTTAGAGAGGCCAACACTTTTCGTCTCTCTCTGCCGAAGCGTTGACGAAGCGTTTGTAAAATATTTTGGAAGCCTCTGATCCTAAAATCCAAGAAATATCAACCTGCTGGCAGGGCAACCTAACCTAATCTAACTTTATGCCACAAAATATATTAAAAAGCTCAAGCAAGCTTACCTGACAGGGGCTTTGTGAGACTCGATCCTACACTCTGCCACACTAAATCCTTATTAAAACCTTTTCCAGAATATTCTTTACTTGATTTTGCGTACAGAGCCGGATTGTTTTTGACAGACGAAATCAGCTCACATTGATCCAACAAAATCTCCTGACAAAAATTATCTTCATCGCCGACGTCACCGACGTCGCCGGCGTTATCGGTTTCTTCCTCGTCGCACATGATATTATAAATTTGATGAAAATAATATAAGAAGAGATGCAAACACTACAGCACACCACAGTACATGCGCAAACAATGCAAACACTTTCCCGTGACTGTGCGCATCTTGCCATTAGTTGTAGGTTGTAGGTTGTAGGACGTAGGAAATGGAATTGGTTCATTTCGCTTACGACTACTGTTACAACTTATCGCACCGGAAGTCATCGCTTACAACCTACTGCTACTGCGTTAAAACTTGTTAAACCCTTCATTGTAGAATGACCTTAAAGGCGTCTACATTAGCTGTAAGAGTAAGGTTGTAAGGTTGCAAGACACGAAATGAAATATTTTCATTCGCTGACAGTTTACGTTACAGCCTTACAGCCTTAGGGTGCGTTCCGTTTCACGCATATGCGCGCATTTCTTATAGTATACGTGACATAAACTATAGATAAATGTGCGCATATGCGTGAAACGGAACGCACTCTCACTCTTATAGCTAATGTAGACGGGCCTTTACGGCTTACAGCTTACAACACGTATTGTAGACCAGTACCGCGATTCTGTAACTCGTTATTGGAGTTAACGACACTTTCGTTATCGTTGCGCAGCTTTTGTATACCGTAGAAAAGCTGCGCAACAATAACGAAAGTGTCGTTATTGTTGCGCAGCTTCTGTATACCGTAGAAAAGCTGCGCAACAATAACGAAACTGTCGTTAACTCCAATAACGAGTTACAGAATCGCACCACTGTAGGCTTATTCTGAAACTTTTTAACGCATGCGTTATAAGTATAACGCATACGTTATATGGCTCGTAACGCATGTTTTACGATTTCGTATTCTGTAAATGCATCTTAACGTATGGTGTCGTCAATATGTGTTACATTAACGTTAAGTTTGCGTTATATTATTTTTCACTATAAATCCGTATTCTGTAAACCTTTCTGTAAACACTTTAACGCAATTTGTAACGCATTTTCTTGCGTTACGTAAAGTAATGCTAACGCTGGCTGCCGGAGAACGTTAATGTCATAACGCAATCTTGCAAGGTTAAGTTAATATTAATATTTTTTATTGTGAATAAAATGGCTTGTGGGATACTCATCAATATGCTAAATGATGTGGAAAAGGAAGAAGAGAGGGAAAATACCCTAATAATGAAAGAGTTGAGAGATAGTATTAATCCATTTAATTTAACGGATGAACAATTTATAAGAGTTTTCCGCTTATCAAAAGAAGCAGTAATTTATATATGTGACTCACTTCAAAATATTTTGCAACGTAAAGGTGCCAATACATGGGAGCGTCGAGCGTCAAAGCGTCCAACCAATCAGTTTTTCATTTCTTATTTCACGGATAAAAACAAGGAACTTTGATTGGTTGGACGCTTTGACGCTCGACGCTCGACGCTCCCATGTATTGGCACCTTTAGGAGGGTGGGGATTACGAAAAGTTCAAAAATGTCTTTTGCCGCCGAACGTTGCGTGTAATCAGTAGGAAAGTGATTCGATTGGAATATATTCGAGATCAGATCAAGACGAAAATATGAAGTGGTTATGCTGTTTCGGCAACATGGACATTACCGTTATCGTGGCATTAATCCTTCACATTGTAATCGCAGGAGTAATAGCTCCAAGCGTGATTACACCGACAAGAGATACCATCTCTTTGTACATCAATGGACACGGTTCGTATATATTTGGATACGATATTCACCATTTATATATCAAGTATACTGTACACACAACTCCAACTTGCTCCTTTTTCTTTCTTTTATCGAGATTTTTTACCATGCCTAATGTAAAAATATCATTTCACTTATATGTATCTTATCTTTATTCTCTTGTAATACAAATCATAAGATAAAACTACATCGTGTTTCTTTAATTTCTGGTATAACAATTTCTTCATAATTATTTGTAATTGTTGATAGAATTATACTCTCTCTCTCTTTCTCTGTCTCTCTCTCTCTCTCTCTCCCCCCTCCCTCCCTCCTCCCTCCCTCCCTCTCTTTCTCTCTTTCTCTCTCTCTCTCTCTCTCTCTCTCTCTCTCTCTCTCTCTCTCTCTCGACACTTGCATCTCAAGATGATAATACTGTCGTGTACTACTCGCAGTTACATATTTATCCCATGAAATATACATACATGTGTAATTCTTTCATTCTTCAGGTGAATCTTCCATAAATACGTACAACAGTAATTGTGAATGTACGAAATATAATTGCGGATGTTGTCAGTATATCGAATGGAATGCAATCTCATTAAATGGAACATGTGAGTAATTATTTTCAAACTGTATAACTGTATGCCATGCTACTGTACTACTTGAACGCATGCTAAATTCATATCGTGTAAAGAAGAATATTTGTTACATTTATTCTTTCGTTTTGACTCTACTTTTTTTTGATACTTTGTTTTGATTTTACTTATTATGCAGTGTGTGCAAATGCTAGCTATTTAGAGTATGAGTATGGAATATCAATCACAGTGACATACAATGATTTTGTGATTATTAATGAGACAATCTCAGGTAATATAGATTGGGTTGCATATACAATTTTATGTTAATATTACACTTTAATGATATTATATGTGTGCACTTGTAGCTCGTAACCCACCACCCATTTGCTTTGGGGAAGACTTTATGAAGATATACACACATTTGATCCAAGTTGAAGTTTGCTTACATATTTATGATATAGATATTGGATATAATAAGTTTCATGCGTGTTTTGAGATTCTGGGAAAATTCATGCATATTAAGATTCTTTCGGAAAAATTAGGTTGCTTTACCACCAAGCTACAAAAGGATTTTGTGCATGTGGAAGATAATATAGTTTTTCGTCTATTGCATCAACTTTCTAACAGCAAAACCAAAGAATTCAAAATACCTAATGTGATCATGGTGTAATGGGTATATATGTATATATATGCAAAAGTTTGATCAATGCAAACAGCAGTTACGATGAGACTCTATAACGCTTGTCTATGCTAACGCTGAGCAACAATGTGTCTTTGCAATAATTTTATTTCTCTTCGGTAAATATTGTATATGTACTTTTAACTGTTTATAAATTTATTCTGCATAAATTATAAAATAGTTCACATAAAATGGAAATAATTTTTTAATTCCCGCCTCTCCCTTTTCGATTCATTCGTTCATTCATTATTACTTTCATCCTTCGTTACTGTATGTTATATGTTACAATATTGTTTTGTTCTTATTCTTGGCTATTTTTAATTCAGCATTGCTATCAGCAGCCTTTTCCATTCGGCACTGCAATCATTCTGGAAAAGAGAAGCAAACAAAGACATTTCTTTGTGTTATCAATGATAAAATGAGTTGAGAGTTTATCTGTAAACGTATACATTTATTGTACGGACAAATGCATTTGTTACATTTGTGTGTTTCTAGATTATTGACACTCGAGCGTTAACGGGCGTAATGTCTGATTGTGCCTTTAGTAGCAACAAGAAAACAAGTGATTCTTCTCGGTTCGTTAATTCAATAGCGCAATCAGAAGCCGTTTAAAGTCATCGCTGCAGTCATTCTGTAAATGGAAAATAACGTGGGAAGATTAAAGCTAATATTTAATTCAAAGCATACACTGCGAAGACATTCGTATATTTATATAATACGTGTACAGTCGAGGCACACGGTTGAGGCATGCAATCAGTCAGAAATGACAATAATTGATGGAATTAGCGGAATGAAAGATAAATGTTTGCAATCTATTAGTAATATTATATTATTAATATTTAATTTCTTAATATATAATGTACAGTAATTGATAGGTCAATCGACCTTTGCAGAGACACACATGTCATACCGAAATCAGAGAAAGGGAGCCTTTTCCTGGTTCCGGTTCTCCTGCTCTTTCGATAAGGTAATGTGTTTGGTTTATGCACACTGTTACATTGTACATACAAAACGTTCCGCGGAGGCAAGCACAAAACAAAGGTAACACGAATAAGACTTTATTTACCATTGATTATTGACCAGTGCGAAATATAAGAAACTAAATCCGAGGTTTTTGCAGAATATATCACAAAACAGTAGTATACATGGGTATACGACGTATAATTCGCGACATCGAAATATACTTTTCGGTAGAAAAAAGTTGGCGCGCGATTGAGAAATAGTTTCATCCGAGAAGAGCAAGCAAGAGTCTCTTGTAGTCGCCTGAACAGTCATCCTGAAATTTATGGAAAATCATACGAAGTGCTAACACATACAGCGTTTGTAAATTAATGATAAATTATCATATAATATGAATGAATTTTCGTTATTTGATCTAACGGCTGCGAATTAAGAATAAGATATGCGTAGCGTTGATGTGCGTTATGATGTATTAATAGCGCAACAATAATGCTACAGAAGCTTGATATTTTGGCTAGAGAGAGAGAGAGAGAGAGAGAGAGAGAGAGAGAGAGAGAGAGAGAGAGAGAGAGAGAGAGAAAGAGAGAAAGAGAGAGAGAGAGAGAGAAGAGAGAGAGAGAGAGAGAGAGAGAGAGAGAGAGAGAGAGAGAGAGAGAGAGAGAGAGAGAGAGAGAGAGAGAGAGAGAGAGAGAAAGCCAGCATTGTGCTTGTGGCTCTCTGTAATAATTTATAAAATACATTTCTAAACTGTTAAAACAAAACGATGAATGCATGTTAATCTTTATCATCATAACGAAGCTTGTAAACGCGATATGTTTGTCTAATTTGACTCTGCATTTCTCAAGATTATTATACGACATGTATGAAATATTATTATAATATTACAAATGTTTTATAATATTGTCTATTTCTTTCTTTCTTTCTTTTTTTATCAGCTACATTACCACGATGATCTTTCGAACTCTTATTTTTTACTCACATCAATAGCTTCTGCGAGAGATTTGCCGTAGAGTCTCTCGTAAGTCTCCTTAATGTCACCTAGATCGATCTCCGAGCGCGCAACAATGATGCGTATCAACGTCGAGTCGGTTGTGCCGATTCCACGCATGGCCTTGTACAGTCTTTCCGCGAAATAGGCAGTCTTATCGCGGGCGCATTTGACTGAAAGTCAAATGTAGGGTGGTCATTAGCGAAGATGTTCAGATATTCGGAAAGATTTTTGATACTAAACAGTGTACAATCGCGTACAGCAGTAATTAAAATTAGTACCTGGGCATTTCCTCTCATTTAATGAGAGAAAGGAAAAGTAAGAGTGCGCTAGATTATATTGTAAAAATTAAATGTCCCGTTTAGTTGTAGATTAAATTAATAACGGTAATTTTCAGGGATGTGCACGTAAATAGGCGAAATAATTACACTCGGTGAAATTGAAATGGAAAATGAACGAGATAACGAGTGATTTAACTTATATTTCGCTGGATTACTTCTTACCCACAGCCAGATAGCCATCTTCAAGAGAACCCGAAAACTCTCGCTTTATGGCGTCCTCCAAGCTGTGTCCGGCAATGCGTTCGTACTCCTTGAAGATCCTTCGCAATTGCGGATAACTCTTGGTGATTAAAATTGCATTGAAAGTACTCTCGTCTGTACCCCATTGTCCCTCACCGGCGGCCATGAGTTTTTCGGCGTCCTGAACTGCAGCCTCCTCGTCGACGTCGGGATTCTCGTTTCTACTGGCCTGATGGTCAACAAGAGAGTAGAGAGCAAAGTTGACGTGACAGCTTCGACTCGATAGATCTCGAGTTGTTGATGTCAGTTGATATTCTCTGAATTCACTTCATTTTTTTTTTCTTTTTCTTTTCTTCAGCTATTACTTACACAGGACAATGACACTAAAAGCCTCTTAAAATGGCCGGAAGTGTCGCTCTTGAGGTCATCCTCCAGTTCCTTCTCGTACACTGGAAGCAAATCATCGACGTTATATTACATTTAGTTTTTCGGCTTTTCTCCGGTCGGCCTGTGACAGAAGGGTGTTTTTATATATTCGGTATCGGGTGGAGTGGGGTTGGAAGGATGGACTTACAATCCTTGTAAATGGCCGATATCGTTTTGATGCCGTAATTGCTGAGAGAGGCGAGAACCTCGATGAGCGCGCCTTCGTCGGTGCCCATGCCGGAAATGGCGCGATGCAATTCCTTGGCGTATAGCTCGGGAAGAGGCGTCATCAGCGCGCAGATGACGTTTTCAAAATTGCCGGAAAGCTCCGATTTCAGCTCGGAAACGAGGTCCTTGCCGTACATTGTTTTAAATTTGTCAGCAATTTCCATTCTCTGTACGACACCTCGATGAGCCAGGACGTCAATGATGGCTTGCTCATCGGTACCGAAGCCCTTCATGGCGGTTCGTAAAAGGCTGGCATCCTCTTCGGGATCGAAGGGCTCGGCAGGGTACACGGTGGGTGTGCACTGTAGGAGCATTTACGGGTAAAATACATATATTTTCGTGTTATTCGTTATATTGTTATTGAGGTTGAGGTTATCATTATTATTTGTTTCATACTTGAGGGAAGAAGCAAAAGAGTTGCTACGTATGGACGACGAGCCGAGTTTATATTCAGTCATTATTTCGAAGCTTTATTATCTCAATATACATGTTTCATCAACAAATTACCTGTACGTGATAATATTGGCTAGCTGCCATCTTGTAGGTAATATCTGCAAACATTTTTCATACGTATTACCTTATGCATATTCTAATCTAATGAGAGAGATTAAGGAATTAGGGAGAGAGAATTTTTAACAAGAAAGTTATTTGCGAAATCGGTATTGCTGATCCAACGACGGTTATATATTATATATATGCGTGCGTGTGTGTATGTGTGTGTGTTCAAAAGTCCTACTACTAAATCCTACTGTTAAAATCAATCAATAAAGTCAAAACACACATACACACACACACACACACACACACACACACATAATTTTATTGATCTACTTTACATTTCTCAGTAATTAATTTCCTCATATACTAAATACCATATTTTGTATTAATTATCATTTAACGATTCTGATACAAATCTTTAAGAATCTTTGAGCAGTAAGACTGAAATTTGGAGCTGACAGAGGTATATTATAATATTGCGGATATAATGGTGGTGGCTTTCAATGCGAGCAAAGAGCGATAGTAGTAACTCTTCTCATCGTACGATACGATCAAATCGCGTAAGACGCGCAACCGGTGAGAATACGTCCTTGATTTGTTTCTGACATGCGCCACGTTAACGAATGATGATCTCATCTCTCACTGAATAACTATTGAAATGGGTGCACACTCATGCTTTGCGATTTAGGGGACGACGAAAGTAAAGTACACCAGGGTTTTGGACACCCTGCAGGACTATATTGATCGGACCGGTAAAATGATACTCGGGGTGTGGCATGTTTCACCTTTCCTGATCGTGACGAGTTCTCTCTTCTTGGTGAACCGATACCGCTTCTGGTAGCTGACTGACTAACTCTGCTCACTACTTGCGTTCAGGTCGGCATAATGGGGGGAGACTGATGACGACAAGGAACGTTATAGAAGAGAAGAGAAGAGAAGAGAAGAAAAGAGAAGAAAAGCGAAGAAAAGAGAAGAGAAAAGGAGAGGAAAGATAAGGAGTGGAGAGGAGAGGAGAGGAGAGGAGAGGAGTGGAGAGGAGAGGAGGGGAGAGGAGAGGAGAGGAGAGGAGAGGAGAGACGAGGAAGACGAGAAAGGAAAAGAAACTCGTTGGTGGGGCATGTATGTTTGTATTCGTCGACTGCAACATCGGTGTACCGAGACGATATTCTGGCTGCGTTCCGATATTCACTGCTAGCACTGAAATTCTATAGTATACGTGACATAAACTATGTATTTTCAGTACTGGCAGTGAATTTCGGAACGCAGCCTCTGTATGTTCCTTGCAGGCAGCAACAGAGACTCAAATCAACCGAGCTACATTGGGGATTCTTCGTTTTTAGATCGTCCCAACTTATCGCCAATTGATTTTGCATCCCGAATTCGATTCATACACCATGCAGACGTATCTCGTTACGTTACTCGATATCTCGGCATAATGCGTGTCAGACGTGTGTCCGTGAATGATGTACATACATTGCGTTTGGTCCGCGACAACGGAGTCTAAAGCGGCGAACAGACGGCGGGATTCGACAGCTTTTTTTTTTCTTTTTTCTTTACTATTGGCTCTTAACTTCAACTTGATTTTGACATTTTAAGGTGAAGGCTTAATGAGGATAAACCGTCAGCCTTCGATAAACCAAAAAAGGATCAAGGTGCGGCGTAAGGTGTCGATTCTAAACGGAAGTACACATAGCATAGCTTCCATTAATGTAACCGCCGGTGAATTGCGCAATTATCCTTTATGTGTGTAATTGTCCTCTTGCGGTTTTTGCAACCGCAAACCAGCAACTCTCAGAGGGAACAATTCGTCGAAAATTTAACGATGCTGTCTAACGGAAACCTCAAACGATGGCGGAATAATGACAAAGATGCGGTTTAAAAGTGCAAATGTTAAATAGCACAAGTAATCGCTCTGATAATCGTAATCGTCTCCGATAACAATCGAATCAATGTCGCTTTACAAATATAATCTTAATGTTACTTACACGCGTCGATGTATAAGTTCCACTGGAGGAAACACGGGGTACTATCTACGTAGGCTACGTAGTTGGGAGTGGTTCTTCCCTGAGAGCGCACGCTTGGTAACTGGGTGGAAGCGTTCTGACGACGTTGGTATTAAGGACAACGTCGGGGTGGGGTAATGTCGACGATGTAATGTAACGAGCAACAATGACGTAGAAAACGAGATATCCTGTAGCGAGCAAGAGATGGCGAGTGAATCATCGTTCGACAAACCGACGAGCCGTGTGCTGCGAGATCGATCGGAAGACGATGACGAAGACATCAAGGACGCTATAGGGGGAATACTAAAACTATCGGCTATATCGCTAATTTCCGATTACATACGTATTCATTCAATCGGATCATGAGGAAGCAATTTCAGTCGCACCATTTCATCACGTATGATTGTTGGTTTTCGAGCGATTTCTTAGCGAGTAACATCACACTCATGAAAGTATACATGATTCATCCTTCCTTGATCGAAGATGAGAACGAATCGTCCACGCTCTTGAGCAGTGTAGAATGCGTGACGGAACGAATGCGCATACGGAATGTTTCGGTAATCGCGCGATTTCTTATGGCGAGAGGCCATAGGCGGAGGATACAAGGTATCGTCACCTTCCAAAATTCAACAGATCGATTTTGGCTGAACACAAAAATACATCAGATTTTAATGTGCGATCGAGAATCTTTTCAGGTCTTGCGATAATCTTTTATCATTATCGTCACGGATCTCCGACCCGTGTGGAGCATGCGTATATGATGTCAGAATTGCAGAATGCGTTGAGACAAAATTTACTCACGCGTTTGGTGAGAACACATTCGAGAGAAATTCTCCGGCTAATGTGAAACGTTGTATATTCGCGACATTAGTACAAGGATTATATTCTCATTCAAACTTGTCATTTTCCGGTAAACATTGGTATATAGAGAGAAAAAAAAATGCGCGGTGGTGCCGTCTGAAAATGTTTTATTAAGATTACATATGGCAAGCGAGGCTTCCAGTTTCCAATTCCTCAAATTGAAAATCCATCTCCTCAACATTTTTTCGATACATACATGCATACTGTCGGTACGATAAAAAGTGCATTCTCTAGGAATTTGCACTTGTCTTATTCTCTAATTCCCTACTAAAAATTTGTCTAGGTATATCACCTTTACCACCTTTGACAGAATCGGTCAAAAACTCCTTGTGCGGATCGTTCCTTTATGCATCTCTCTCTCTCTCTCTCTCTCTCTCTCTCTCTCTCTCTCTCTCTCTCTCTCTCTCTCTCTCTGTACTATACAACTATAGTACAGTGAAGAATATGCAAGCCATAATCATTTGTAATTATGAATGATCTGATAATGAATCTCTTACATTTTGCAGAATATGATACATAGTTTTCTTAACAATAAAATTATATATTCTCAACGCGTATCGCAAGGGTTTGTAAAGATAAAATTAATATACGATATCTGTGTACTAAAAACCTTCCATCAAACATATCAATCTCATAGTTGGCGTTTCTAAATGTTGTGCGTAGCAAAGGAACCATATTACACACCCTTAAATTGTACATCGCGCTTTTTTGACTATACAGAATGTTTGTGATACAAGTCGCAACTTACACGATAGTCTAGGTACATAACTCGAAATACGAATAGAGATGTACATTTTAAACGAATGTGAAAATTACGCGAGCTAAACTGCAAATGACAGATGGAATGCAATTCAGAATTGAATTGCACAAACGGAACCCTTTCACAGAAAACCGAGACTTTGTATAAATATGCTATAAATATAGTATAAAATAATTTAAAGAATGTATACTTGTAATTTACTTTTCACGCAGAGAGAATCGTCCTCTTCATTACAATGATATAACGGTTCACACATCCTGTACAGTCAAGGCCATCTACCGTTAAGATTGTCGCCGGACTTTCCGAATCTTCATAAGAATCCGGTAATAAAGAAAAATTATATTAGACAATAATACAAAAAATACAGTCACTTTAAATATTTGTGCTATATAAACATTGTTAAGTATTATTAAGTATTAACCAATGTTATATGTGCGGATCTTCTTGTGTCAGTGAGTAACTATGACTCATTGTAGAAGTTTCAAGTATCTGAGTTGTAAAACAGAAACAAAAAATTATGACCGAGAAACGCACATAGTATTAGTGTCACTTGACCTTGATATGTTTTACATATATAATTATTAGATATTTATCGCAAGCATAAGTAATATAATGTGTGTGCTCTGTAATACTGGTAAAAATATTTCTAATTGCAATGCCACTCGCAATAATACTAATGAGTTTAATAGTATAATGTAGATATTGACAACAGGTAGATAGGTAGGTAGAGAGAGAGAGAGAGGGGGGAGGAGAGAGAGAGAGAGAGAGAGAGAGAGAGAGAGAGAGAGAGAGAGAGAGAGAGAGAGAGAGAGAGAGAGAGAGAGAGAGAGAGAGAGAGAGAGAGAGAGAGCGAAAGATTCAGACAATAATGATAATAGAGCAGGATACGAGTGACTTGATGATAGAGACAATAATAATCGCAATAGTTGAAACAGCAGCGGTAGCAACATGATAACAATATTTTTAATAATAATATAATAATAATAATAAAGTCGAAAGATAAAGAAAAACATAACAGACGTGTGCATTCAACATAAATTTTTGTATACATATTACAAAAGAGTATTATACAAATCTGTTAGAATAATATACGGTTTATAAATTATTGCACACCTCTTTCAATAGACTCGGATATAGGAGTGCACGTAGTAACTTAATTAATAAATGCGCGTGTCGCTATTCATGCAACAATTGTTAGTTTCAATACACATGTCATGGAAAATCAAAGTATTGTTATATCGTACAGTAAAGCATTGATTAATCCGAGTGTAGATTAATCACAAAACCAAGTCAACAAAGAAAATCTCGAGTAACAACTATTTTCTACAGAAAATTACGTATCATAAGGATAACAATTTATGATAAAAAATAAAACATGAGAGATTCTCCTCCTGTATAAAATTTGTGTGTGTATGTAATTTATATATAGAAAATTATCGTACACACACATAATACATAGCAAACAAACAATGTCAAATTTCTTAAATAAATAAATTATTTGGTAATAAGAATATTTTCCCGTATTTAAATATAACACAGTTTTTCAGCTTCCACCAATGTATTTTATTTGGCAGTCGCGAGTTTTATACGGCAGGGTTTGAATAAATATTTTTTCCCAAACATAAACATATCTCACAGATCTCAACATGGAGTCGAATATAATGTGGATATGATGCAGTTAATAAACGAACATATAAGATGACAAATTGCAAGCCACGTATAAAACCCGTTGCATATCCTCGTATCGTATTATTATCATAGTTTGCAAGAAACGATATAATACGGTGCAATGTAACTAAATTTGCTTCCCATATTATTACGGCGTATCCATATGTTGTTCACATGTATCAAAAAATTTGAACAATTGCACTATATCTTTTCGCCTGCGTTGTGCAATTAACGCACAATTAATGATGATACGATAATGTATACGATGATGTGAGGATACATGACAAATTTGTACGCAGCTTTTTAATGATACTCTGCATGATTCAAAGCTAAATTAAACATATGTACAAGTTGTTCTACACTTTTGTAGCACTTTCTTTCATCTATAGGTTCTTTGACCAATTTATAATCGTTCTTCCGTCGTTTAATGTTAACTTGCGTCGGACATTCCTACAAGACTATTAAATACCTCGTTGATTTATTCTCAAATTAAAATTTTGCCGAAGAGACTCACTCAAAAAGTAACATTCAGCACGTTGTGGAACGTCGCACAAACAACTCAAAGAATGTTCAGGCGAGAGAAAGTACGTAATGTGTGTATATGTATGTATGCGTGTTATATATATTTATATATATGCGCGCACACACACGCACACACGGCACGCACGCACGCACGCACGCACGCACACACACACACACACACGCACGCACGCGCGCACGTACGCACGCACGCACGCACGCACGCACGCACGCACGCACGCACGCACGCACGCACGCACGCACGCACGCACGCACGCACGCACGCACGCACGCACGCACGCACACACACACACACACACACATATATACAGCATTGTGCATGAGATAGCAGTTGTGAGAGGCGATGTAAAGTTCAAGTTAGGTAACGCGTGTAAGGAAATAGTCGCTCTAATTGTTGGAAGAATATCATTTAATTTTTTGTTTTCTCTCATTTAGATGAATTACTCGCACAGAGATGTTTGTATGAAAACTCTTCTCTCACAATCACTTGGATCAATCGTCGTTCTACTTTATACATAAGAATGGTACTCACGTACGGCAAATTCAACAATAAATGTATGCCTTTTGTATAGAACTTTTGTATAGAACGAGACACCTAACTTTACCATTCCATAACATCGCATAGAAAATTGTGCCACAGACACTGTTACGTAAAAAAAAAAAGAAAGGGAAAAAAAAGAAAAAAAAAAAAGAAAAACTATGCTTCCAGATTTCAATGTTGGAAAATGGATCAAGCGATTATGGATATCAATGGCTTAATCTAAATTTAATCTTACTCTTATTATCAATTTGTTGCAAACATTTTCTGGAGATGGCGAGAATCATGCTGTGCATTTTTGTCTTATATCTAAGGAGGTCCTAAAATAGAAATTTGTAGAAGAGTAGAGAAAGATTAAAATAAAGTTCATCATTGTGCCATTTTGTATTGTATATAATCGTGAATTGGAAAGTATATTAGAAAAAATGTAATCGGAAATGACAGAATACAGAAAGAAACATTGTAATATATTCTTCCTTCAGCTACATAATTATTTAAAATTGATCTCTTAAAAATTATTTAAAATTGATCTCTTTATTGTCCATATATTATTTGCTTCTTTTCTTTCCCTTTTCTTTTATTGCTTATATATGTACAAGCACTACTTCTTTGCTTCGTATCACTTTGTGTAAAAGTAAAAATCGCGATTTTTACTGACGTTATATATTCAGATAAATATTTGTATGCACGCAATCAACTTTCGAGAAATGGCATCTGTCCTACATAAAACCCGCAAACTCGATTAAAAGAGTAAGAGGGAAAGGAAAGTTTAAGTATATATTAATTTTATCAGTAAAGCTATTAAAGTAACCATGAAACTTCATACGAAAATCTTACGGGGAAAGCCTGCTCCATCTCCTAATCTCCTTTTGCTAATGAGAAAATCCTTTATTTCTTATCAAATATAAAAATATCTAGACAATACGCGGCGTATGCGCGCGCGAGACTGAGGCTGCGTTCCGATATTCACTACCAGTGCTGAAAATCTATAGTATATGTGACACAAACTATATATTTGCAATACTGGCAGTGAATATCGGAACGCAGCCGAAGTCTCGTAGAACTTTGATCCGAAAATTACCAGAGAAAAGATATATACGAAAAACAATTTAAATCATCAGAGGAAGAAAAATCCTAGGTCATCTTCACAACTTCAACGACAAAGTCGAATACAAATTTTAGACTAGATTTACAATGTTTCGAATACAATATCGAAACAATATCGGGAGGAAGGAAGTAAGAAAAAAGAAAGAAAGAACGAAAGAAAAGAAAGGTGGTAAAGTTAAGTGTCGTATCCTGCGTAACAATAGCACGATTATGGCACGAAACTTATTCCTAAAGAGAAACGCTAAACACTAACGTCAGGTCGATTCATATATAAATACATGTTAGAGGGAGCGATTTTTTCCGTAGTGTATTTTCGAGACGACTAATTTCTCTCGGTGTGTGTTATCCTATAATCTCTTCCGTTCGATCGATTAGCAACCGATTTTTATGGAACATCTCCCTTTCGTATTAATCTCTATATCGTCCATTCGTACATCGCGCTTAGAAGTAAATACAAAAGACCTAAGAAAGGCATTCTTAGGTTTCCTATGATGCAAACTTAAGTTTGCAGTGTATGCGTAATTTCTCGATGTATAGTTACCAAACCCTGTATGAAGCCATCTAATCTGGCGTTTAACGTTTCCAAATTTTGCTTTTGGACCTTGTTCGCACTCATCGCAATTTCCAATTGTTCATGAACTACATTCAACATATCGCGCAGTTCCCCATTCTCCTTTTGCAGAGCCTAAAAAAAAAAAAATAAAAAAAAAAAGAAGAAAAAAGAGATTGCTGGTTAATCAAAGTCGAGTACTGTATTACCGGATAAAGGAAGAGGGACGAGGGTGGGGAGGGGGCGGGGGAACGGAACAAAACGAACAGCTTGTTCCGCGTACGTACCACAAAATCCTTATTTTTATTGGCCATTGTGAGAGCTTTGATTTCTTCATTTCGCGTTCTCAACTCACTTTCCAGTGCTTCGACTCTCAATCTTAGGGCTTCGCTGTTGCCTTCCGCAATTTTCCCAGCTTCCAAATCGGCATACTTGGCTTTTATCCTGGCGTTTTCCTCTTTGTACGACTGCAGCTGCCTCTTCCATTCGTCAACATTAGCTGTGGATTCTTGCAACGCGCTCGTTAATCTCGCATTGCTGGTTTTGAGAGCAGTTAGCTCGACCTACGATAAGACACGAATTACTCATTCCCCGATATTTGCAAGAACGTTCTTCTTATTATCAGAACAAACAAACACTTGGGATCGTACCTCCCATTTCTTTGCGTTAGCAGAGCTTTGAGCTAGAGCGAGTTTCAGCCTATCATTCTCATACTTGAGCTGCACCTCAGCGGACTGCCCACTTTGTGTAGCACTCAATTGCGCCGATTTCCCTTGATGCTGCGGACTATCTGTACTCTGCTGAGAAACACTCTGTGATCTTGAATGGACTGTGTTTTTCAATTCGTCGTCCATTTTATTTTGACAACTATCAGGTAAAGGACTGCTGCTTACCGAAGATACACTGTTCTGAGCGGAGATCATGTTGGCATTTGGATTCGGGTTGTTGGACGCTGACACGTTGGAATTAATCATCGAGGAGTTTGGCGGATCAATCAGATCTTGCTCCGACGATGGCATACCCGATCGAGATGTAATTGGGCTGACATTTGCGCTGGTGGCCGGCGTAACCGAAGAACTGTTTGACTGTAACTTGGCGCTAGCTAACTTGGTGGCTTCTTTTACTTCGTGAAACTTTTCGATGAACTGTCGAACGAGGAATATTTCTTTCAAAGTATGATGCATAAAGATTTGTGCTCTTTGTATCTTCATGGAAACAAGCACGACACAAACCTTGCCCAGCTCAGCCTCGGATGAGAAACCCAAGCCGTATACAGTGTTTGCTCTAACATCCGACCACTGGCCAAATTTTTGCGAGGTCTTTGTGAAGGTCATATTTGGGGTAATTGTGCTATTTATAACGGCCTAAGGAGCAAAGGATACACATGTATGTATACGAATGTACGTATGTATATATTATATATGGCGTGTGCACGCGCGCGCGCGCGCACGCACACGCACACGCGCACACGCACACGCGCACACGCACACACACACACACACGCACACACACGTGTTTAATTCCTCATGCTGTTGCCTATAATAATATGTCGACATTACTCATAGTCACCTTTGTTCCCTCAACTGAGATTATTCTATATAAACTTCTGGTGGAATCATAGAAGAATGAAACCGACACTGCTGCCGTTGACGCAGATACCCAAGAACGCTTGGTTTTTGGGTCAATGTGAAATACGTGCGCTTTGCACGTAAAAATCGGTTGCTCACTGTAATCAATTTAAATGGTAACAGAAGAGTGCTACACATAATCTGCTACATACGATACAAAGCATCTATTTTTATCTGACCTCATTAATGCAAGTAAAAAATGTTCAAAGATACAGTATAGAATTGTTGCATGAGACGACAAGGAGAAAGCGCAAAATAAAATGTCATGGAAATAGGAATATTTGCTCGCAATGTGACAACGACAAATAAAAGAGAATTTTGTACATCTTATCGAAACTTTGTTACACTGAGAGATGCATTTTTCTTCACACATTATTGCGCATACTCAAAAAGAAAGAAAAACAATAAAAAGAAAGGCATGTAGGGATTTTCAAGCAATTGAAATACAATAGAGATATTAATAACAGATTAGAATAACACGACAGCTTAACCAAATGTATACTACATTATTCATATCGACGCAAATAACAGTCGCATAGACACAAGTGTTTTTAAAAAAGGAAAAGAAAAACTCCATGTAGTAGAGAAATTTTCTTGCGAACTCGACGGTTCGACTATATCCTCCCTAATTGTAAAAGCAACAAAACAGACGTAACGTAACTGCGCCGATTTATTGAATCGAATCGAATGCAGAGAGTGAATGTCGTGTTTGAGTATATCAATTTTGTCAATACGCTATTATCATAGTTTGGTGATTATCCTACTGCAGATAGAGAGGGAGTGTGACTTTTCTAGGTCGTACTGCTCTTATATTCGCGCTGCAAATTAATAGAATGTGATGAGGAGAGAGCATGCACGAGAGAGAGAGAGAGAGAGAGAGGGGGGGGAGGGGATGAAAGGGTGAGAGAGGGGGAGGGAGGGGAGAGGGGGAGAGAGAGAGAGAGAGAGAGAGAGAGAGAGAGAGAGAGAGAGAGAGAGAGAGAGAGAGAGAGAGAGAGAGAGAGAGAGAGAGAGAGAGAGAGAGAGAGAGAGAGAGAGAGAGAAATACGCAGTAAAATGGAGCAAACACATACACACACACACGCGCACACACACATACACACACACACACAGGGACATCCCGAGTGATCTAGTTTGCGTTGCACGATGATAGCAGGCCGGTGATGGGCGCATTAAGAACAATTCGCGCTGTACGCTGTACTACGAGGAACGGAAATTAGTCGGTCGCGTGTACGTGCACGTACACACGACCGTAACACACCCTTAAAAGGTAATTCGAAGTACCTCGCCGGAGTCACTTACCCCATCGTTTCCTTGCCCGATGTCATATAAGTGGCTCCCTAGTTGAACGATCGCATAAATTGTGTCGCGAATGCGTTCAGCGCGGGCGCGCCGTGTCTATTTTCAGAGCTGGACAAGCGAGATTTTCCGAGAAACGGCCGGGAATCGTTCGACCGTGGGCTGAGATGCGCCGTGGGTTGACAGCCGCCATCAGCCAAGCTCTCTATAGCGAACAACGGCGACGATCACGCGACAACATGAATGTAGTCGCGGGTCTCCACAGTCTGCCTGGATTTAATCGATTTTCCGAGAAAGGTTCTGCCATTCGCCGTTAACCTCGCTGTAATTCACCGCTCCGCGATCCGTCAAATTCACTAAATTCACTAAACGCGACTGCAGAAAATCGCGCTCGGCGCGCGGTCGTTACTTTAAAAAGGGGCTAAATCTTTAAAGTTCAAACGCAATCAAGCGACGACGCGATAACGCCCTTTCGCATTCCCTAGTGACAAGGTTACTCATGGCCGTTGAAGTTACCACAAACCGAATGGCCAATCAAACGTATTTGTGTCTAGGACGCAACTGGTTCAGCTGGTTTGTCCGACATTACGTTTGTCATACTACGAGTTTTTGTCAGATGCGCGTCGATTCGCTATCGGATGAAAATTTCTATAACGTGCAGAAGAAAGGGGAAAATTCTCTATCCAATAGCCAATCACACCCGAGTACCCACACTGACTGCTCGTGTACTAACGGGGAATAAAATCGGCTGTTTACACTGTAATTTGACGGGAAAAGCGAAATCGCTTAAAGCCAGCGGCACACGGTGCTTGTTTTCGTGCTGGATTGCTTGCTGGATGAAAATACTGCGTTCTGATTGGTGCATTTCCGAAGATGGATGGAAATGCACCAATCAGAACGCAGTATTTTCATCCAGCAAGCAATCCAGCACGAAAACAAGCACCGTGTGCCGCTGGCTTTATCTCTAAAAAATTGCAAACAGAAAGGATAGGAGCAACGCACCGACTCGAGACTGCCGCCCATTTTCAAATGTTGTCGATTAAGTCACTGAAAGAGGTCAGTGCATGTCCGTGTTACGCCCATTTTCTGACAGTTCATGCTTATTTCTCGAGCTACTGCTTCATATTTCGGCCGCAATATTAGAGGGCCAAGAGGGCGTTAGTGCCGTCACACAGCGAGAATCCCTTGGTGCTGGTATGTTGATCTCGTAAACTAAACTGTCTCAATTAGTAGTAGTCTCGTCGATGAAAAACGTGCGTTGTTTCTCAAGAACGATCTTCACTTACCGTGCATTTCACCTTTCAAGCAATCTTTCAAGGGGGAGTACGTCAAAACGACATACTCTCTCGATTGTCGTTGAAACAATACTTGTGCCGAAGGAGACGAGTAAAGGACATGTCGATGCAATCTTTTCCAATGATAAATACGTCCTGATCGTGTGCGCACAGTTCATTTATTAACAGTCTTTGGTGTCAGACATAAATTATCCATACCGATGTAACAATATCAATCGCTTCTAAGCAGTGCAAGCAAAGCAGCTCGCGATTACGATGCTAAAGATCCATAAATTATCAAGAGTGATTAAAATTACCCCGCCGCTGAGACTTCCTATCGACGTCTGTTGAGGTTAAGATGCTAGGAGCTACAGGGGGATCGAGCGAACGTGCATGATCGTTCTTTTCGAAATTGTGAGCTCAGAGTGTTGCTCAAAGTAGAGCAGTGAGTAGCACCTCGTTTGAGAGCATTCGTTCGGAGCGCGGCGTAAGTTGAGAGAGCACAAGTTACTGCCCAATGCCCAATTAATGCCGTAAAGTGCCGTAAAGTTTTAATACGAAAGATGGGATAATGAGTATATTCGGAGGGACATACGGATCACTCTCTCCGTTATCGTCGTTATCGTATCGATCGAACATTTCTATGAGATATCGTCTCGGTAGTCTCCGCTGAGTATACTCTTGGCCAAGTATGACATATAACACCTTCAACCAATGTGAATAGTATGAAGCCACGCACATGTTGGCTACATGTCTCCCGCATACTGTTACTTAGCCTCCTTACTGGCCCGATTCATAGCCATTTAAGCAGCAGCAGCTCGAAACGGCACAATGACAAAGGCTATGCCACTGGATCTGTATGTAACACATCCGCATCCTGCGTTGGCTGCAGTGCGCAGCAGCTCCAGGTCAAATTCTCCACCAAGATAATCGAGAATGAGTACATAGTCGCGTTTAAGGGTTACTACAAGCCGCATACACGAAAGAATTACATAGGAGCCGCGCTAAATTCATCCGGCGTAAACAACTGGACAATTTTGCATCGTGACAATTTGGCGTCTCGTTTCCCTAGTGACTTTGACATTGTGCTACTGGAGGAAACAGTAAAATATCACGGGCTCAACGCTTTGGGTAACCATCCACTTGTAAGGAGAGTAACGCCGCAGAGACTCGTGCGTAGAAGCTTGAGGTTTATCAATGGTACAACAGATGACTCGGATGTTCCAGAATATAAGAACTTGAGGAGACGGGCCAATACTTACGTGAGTGTGCAAATTATGAGGATCCGGCGTGTTGCAAAGAGCAGGGGGGCTCGCGATAGTGGAGGGAAGCGCCGCGAGGTTAAACGATGGAAAATTTAATTTCAGAATATACAGAACGTGTTGGAGCAATTGACAAATCGCCATTCGTCTCGCAGACTGCTGAGAGCCATACCGAGGCAAATTACACATATTCTCCAGGCTGACGCATTATGGGCGAGAGGTATTACCGGCAAGGGCGTAAAAGTGGCGATATTCGACACCGGACTCGCTGTCAGTCATCCACACTTTAAGAAGATCAAAGAGAGATCAAATTGGACGAACGAAAAGACTCTGGAGGATGGCCTGGGCCACGGCACATTTGTCGCTGGTGTCGTCGCGTCAACATCCAGGGATTGTTTGGGTTTCGCTCCGGACGCGGAGCTGCACATCTTCCGTGTCTTCACAAACGCTCAGGTAACCCAGCTTGTGCTTTTCAACCAGTTTGCACAACCAATCCAATTTCACGGTGCACAAGCATCCGCGGTGCTTTTCCGTGCCTTTCCAATTTTTTTCTTCCCTCTTTTGTTCTATTTTTCTCAAACACAACAGGTGTCCTATACCTCGTGGTTTTTGGATGCATTCAATTATGCCATACTCAGTAAAGTCACGGTGTTGAATCTGAGTATCGGGGGTCCAGATTTTATGGATCATCCGTTCGTTGACAAAGTGTGGGAGCTCACAGCCAATGGTGTCATTATGGTGTCGGCGATTGGCAACGATGGGCCTTTATACGGGTAAACAATGACGTTGGGCCGTCCGTGCGATCTTTACGCATTTCGAGAAAATAAACTAATCTGATCATATTCGCGTTTTACCGCTTGCTTCGCGCAGCACTCTGAACAATCCTGCCGATCAAATGGACGTGATCGGTGTGGGAGGTATCAACTGGGACGACCAAATAGCGAGATTTTCATCGCGCGGCATGACAACGTGGGAATTACCATACGGATATGGAAGAGTCAAACCCGATCTGGTTACATACGGATCGGGGGTGAAAGGGTCCGCTTTGCAGAAAGGGTGCAGAACTCTGTCCGGCACTTCCGTAGCTAGTCCCGTTGTCGCCGGTGCGGTTGCGCTTCTGGCCAGCGGATTTGTACGAACGGACGAGTCGAAGGCTGTTAAGCAGAAGGTAAACGATACGAAAGAATCGTAAGAGTTACATCGCATCGCGTTTGCGTACATAACGTAACGGAATGTCTGCAAGGTAACGCCGGCGAGTATGAAGCAAGCGTTGCTGGGATCAGCCCGCCGTTTACCTGGAATCGGCATGTTTGAGCAAGGTGCGGGAAAGTTGGATCTTTTGCAGGCGTTTCAGTTCTTACAGTCGTATACTCCTATCGTCACGCTCAGTCCGAGGTAAGCTCTCTCTCTCTCTCTCTCTCTCTCTCTCTCTCTCTCTCTCTCTCTCTCTCTCTCTCTCTCTCTCTCTCTCTCTCTCTCTCTCTCTCTCTCTCTCTCTCTCTCTCCTCTCCTCTCTCTCTCTCTCTCTCTCTCTCTCTCTCTCTCTCTCTCTCTCTCTCTCTCTCTCTCTCTCTCTCTCTCTCTCTCTCTCTCTCTCTCTCTCTCTCTCTCTCCCCTCCCCCTCTCTTTCGTCCTCCCTTCCTCCCCCCTCTCTCTTTCCCTCCCCTTCTCTCTCCCCCCTCCCCCCTTTGTCTTCCTTTGGATATATATCAAAATATATATATAAATTAAATATCGAGATTGATCTTACACTTGGTCCGTTGTGCGCGTCTTCTGAGTCGCTGCACGAATCGATCTCGCTCGAACGATTCGTGGACAATATAGAGACGGAGCGTGAGCGGATCTCAGTTACCAAACGATAATACGTCGTTAAGGGATGAAATAATGTCGCTTTTCGTTAAAACGATCGCAGTTATATAGATCTGACCGAATGTCAATACATGTGGCCGTACTGTACGCAAGCTGTGTATCACACTGGCATGCCGACGATAATGAACGTGACTATAATAAACGGCCTGGGTGTGTCCGGACATGTGGTGAATCTTACCTGGCATCCGTACGCGGGTGACGGCAACGGCCAGCGCATCGATGTGGCGTTTACACACAGCGACGTTCTATGGCCATGGTCAGGCTGGTTAGCGGTCGCTGTGACGGTCCCGTCGACATCCCGCAACTGGCAAGGCATCGCGCACGGTTTATATGGCATTTATTTGATTTCTCTTGTAAAAAATGTGCTGTTGTTTATATCGTATATATAACGATTGGGTAGATCATATTTTCATACACACGCGCACGTACATACACACAGGTTATATCTCCCTCACGATCGAGTCACCGGCGTGCGACGGTGAAGTTAAGCCGCGACAGTCGACAATAAGACTCCCGTTGAAGGCGAAAGTCATACCTACACCTCCTAGACAGTGAGTAGTTAGTAATGACGACGTCGACGGTAATACGACACGCGAACGGCATTTTTATGCTTGCCTCTCACGCTAATCTCTCCAATTCTCTTCCCCGGGCCAACTCGCGCGTCTCTTATTTGTTTCACAGCAAACGTATCCTGTGGGATCAGTATCACAATTTGCGCTATCCACCCGGATATTTTCCCAGAGATGACTTGCGCGTAAAGAACGATCCTCTCGATTGGAACGGAGATCATATACACACAAATTTCAAGGACATGTATCAGCATCTACGCAACGCCGGGTATTATTTCGAAGTGCTCGGCCATCCGTTCATTTGTTTCAACGCGAAGAATTACGGAGCGCTACTCATCGTGGATACAGAGGAGGAATTCTTTCCCGCAGAGGTACGCACGTACGGTCGTTTCGCGACCTTGCTCGTCGATTCACCCGTCGAAAATACCTCGCACGATGCATCTTTCTCGCAATATCCCGCAATAAAGATAAAGATAAAGATAAAGTAAAGAAGGAATCGTCTCGAACCGTAGGTGGCGAAGCTGAAGCGGGATGTGGAAGACGACGGTCTGTCGGTGATCGTGTTTGCAGATTGGTACAATGTCACAGTCATGCGAAAGGTGAAGTTTTACGACGAGAATACTCGTCAATGGTGGATACCTGATACAGGAGGTGCCAATATTCCCGCTATAAACGATTTACTCTATCCCAATTGGGGCGTGGCATTCGGCGATGAAGTGCGAAACGGTCAGTTTACCCTCGGTCAACACGCACCGGTCACATTCGCGTCCGGCACTACACTCGCCAGGTAAGACAACTCGTGTCGCGCGTCGTGCGACGCGCGGACGAGCGAGCGACGTTTCGTAGCGGTCAGCGTGCGAGAATGTGTTAGTCGGAATGTGCACTTAGATTTCCCAAGGACGGAGTAATTTTATACGCCGAGCTGCAAGATCAAGGTCGAGAGTTTCTCCTGGAAAAGGAATCAGGAGCGCCTACACTCGTACCTATCCTCGGACTGTTGCAAGTGACCAACGAGAATGACGTCGAAGCGACGCACAGTAAAGGCGAAAGCAACGATCAGATTGTGCAAACGGACGTGAGACAGGAGGAGAAGAATCGTGCGAAAGAACAGACGAGCACCACGCCCGGTAGACTCGTCGTTTACGGAGACTCGAATTGCATCGATGACAGCCACTTGCAAAAATGTACGCATACTGAATACGACACGAAATATAACAGAAAGTAATTTTCAATATCGGCTCAATATCCAAATCGGGGTAAACATTACCCGGCAGTGCGCGGTATAACGTTTCGCTCGGATGAGGTCTACTCGACGTCTTTTCGTTCGAAAGAGAGAAAACTCGCGCATACATTGTTCGCGCACACACGCTAAATTGTACCGACTGTACATTGTTGTGCTTACATTTAGCTTGCTTCTGGATGCTCGACGCTATTCTGGAGTACACGACGACGGGTTACATGCCTACCGTTTTTACGGATGAAAACGAAACTAAACACAAGACTGTGAAAGCAGTCGATAACCTAGAGATTGGAGAATTGCCGCGTCGGATGGAGGGAAATCATTTGAGCCGTCACAGCAAGGTATTAATGGATGACGGGCCGGCGGGCAGTTTCAGATCTCTTCCATTGTGTCCTACAGCGGTCAACGCTGTACCATTACCGGTGAATGAGACTGTGCCGATGTAAGTGCCAATGTAAGGTCGTATCGCTGTGGTTATTGGGTAATATAATTTGTATTCGACAAATCTTTTTCGAGTTGGTTTATGATCTTTCGTTGGAAAAGTATAACGCTTGTATACGGTGTTCAAGTTGGGAAGGGAGAGAAATCGAGATGTAACAACGTATGTAACTCCTTGAAATTACAGGCACGCGTGCGCGCGCGCGCGTACACGCAAAGTTACATAGCAAAAGCTATGAACGAACGGTTGCTTTTCGCGCAAGATGCCAAAGCAGATCGTACGCTTGTTATTATTTCATCGTAGTATAGTTATCTCGAAATATGTGACGAATGTTAGATGTTTGGATTAATTCGAATATCGGCGTTTGTCTCTCTTTCAGAAATCTTTACCAATCTAACAAGGTACTTTCCGTGAGTAACACTATGAACATAGGAAGTCCAGTACTGCACGAAGAAACGGACGCCTTGTGGCTGAAGAGACGAGTCGGTGGTGCTAGTATACCTACACTGCAAAATATCGGCGTTGACAACATGGCTTATGATGTGGAGGCAATCGAGGAAGAGAATTCAGTGATCGTGAATCAATGGAGCTTTATATTGGGCATAATTATCGTAGTGATATTGGTCGTGTATTTGTGGAATCAGTGGGCTTATTTGGTCACGAAGAGACATTCACGCAGGAAACGCACCGTTGGCAGGATACGTAGGTTGATTCAAGCTATCGCCATGCGTAGAGTACCACAGATGTAGCGGAATGAGAAGAATCGAATAAGAACTTATTATTCATGTAAGAGAGGACTCTGCGCAATGAATGTGTAAAAACTCAACGGTTCGTACGGCTGGCTTTTATACGCATTATGCAAAAAACAAAGGAGAAGACTCACATGATAACTTTGTTCGATTACCCAATGAAATCGATGAGCAGCATATACATACACACACACACACACACACACACACACACACACACACACACACACATATAATGCATTATGTGATATATATATATATATAAATAAATAAATATGTGCCTTTTTAAGATGTGCAATGACAGTATGTTATATCTAACGTAAATTTACAGATAATATACATATATTTTGATAGACGTGTTGTTTATTATTCGTTTCCCCTTCTATCCCCTTAATATTCAGAGTTGAAGGGAATAACAAAATATATTAGACGATACATCAGATACAGGCATTCTTCATTTTCAATGATTCAGTGATTGAACTTTTGTCCAAGTCCAAGTTAATGTATTCAATGAGTCGATTTCTTTTTTGTTTCTGAGTAAATATCGAGAAACTAGATGAAAATGACGCAACTAGTTGTAACTTATCAAATTATATATGCTTCTATAGACATCAATTGTAAAATGGATTATACGTGACCCAATGTGCTCTATCTTGTTCCACGGCGGATTTGTGAGAGGTGAAAATGCTTTTGAAAACCTCGGATGCCTTAGGGTCTTTGGCAATACTGTAATCGCTTTTGGCTTTCTTGTAAGCAGGATCATCGGCTTTGCTTTGGTTGTTGGCGATCATGGGAGGTACTTTGTCTTCCTTCTTTATCTTCTTATTCGATAGCTGGTCGGTGCTCTTTTCTTCCGCCGACACATCATCGGCAGATTTTCTCTTTTTTGATTTCTCCCGAGTTACTTTTCTAAGTTTCGCACGTTCCTTCATGAGCTCGAGATCATCACCCTCTGCATTCAGTATAACTATATCCATATCTTTGTACGGCTCCTGGCATTTGTGACACGACTATGAAAGAAGTCGATGTCATATTATGCATATTACGATTCATGCTTGATTCTAAACGTGTGATTCTAAACTTGTGCGTGCAGTATTATTCTCTGGTTTCTAAATACGACAAACAAACATGCAACATACCCAACTTTTTATTTCCTTCAGGGCACGTTCGCTGACAACACAGCCACATGTCCATAAGAAGCAGAATTTGTACTTTCCGTTCATTTCCAAGCCAATAATCGGACAGATGTATGGACTTTTCGCTCCATCCGTATAACCATCACCTTTTTCCGCTTTATCACCATCAAACGCTAGATTCGGTGTCAGATTAAGATCTCTCACATCCTTGAGATTCTTGATATGTACAGCCGATTCAGGAAGCGTATCGCGATCCAAGAGACCTTCCAATACAGACTCTTTGCTATATAGACGTCCTAAGGTGCAACCTACAACCGGTGACTGCAACGGCAGCTGTCGTATCGTGCAATGTCTCCATTTGAAGGCCAGTTCAGCTTCTTTATCCTTCTGAAAATGTATGACGAATAAACTGAATATTTTCCGCCCTTTTCGATCGGAATGCAGATACAGTAGTATTCAGCTGTTGCTGAATGATGTTTGCAAGAAGTGTAAGAAAGTTTGGTACGAGTAGAAGGAAACAAAGAGAAGTGAAACGTTGGGAAACGAAACTCAGGAGTCGGAGGAAGAATGTGACTCGATGGTGATGACCGCGTAGAGTGACGAACAAGAAATTTTAAGCACGGATTAAGGATACAGCGATAAATGAAGAAAATGATATCGGGCATTGTTAGGTTAGGTTAAGTAACGAATGATAAGTCATACGTAGTATTACCTGCTCCGGTTTCTTCTTTCTCTTTACGAGTTCGTCTCTGCGAGGAATAGTGCCACCGTCGCATCCCATGATTGAACTAGATAATGCACGATATCACAATGTATAATATATCATACAAATATGAGATACATTATTGCCGAATGACATACTCGAATATGAAGAATCAGAGAGAAGGAGAGGTGTCATGCGCCGCTTTTAGCCGAGCCTAGAGTCCCTATAGCAAGAGTCTGGCCAATGTGGTCCAATTTTTGATTAGCTGGATACGAAATGGCGCCACCAATTAGTGATAGCAAAGTATGCGGGATATTTGAATAGCAGTAACAGGAAAAGGAAAATTAAAATACATTTTTGCAATTTTTTTATTATTAAATTTTGATATTACATAAAGTTAAAAAGATATTACATATGTAATAACATGATTATTAAATTTTATCTAATAACGGAATGCATAGCCATGGTTTTACTATTAAAAACAGGTTTTTCTAATTTTCCAGTGTGACAACTTTTTCTTATTTTAAAATTAATGAAACGAGCTTTAATTTTGTGGGATAAATTGTGACATGTTTTTAATGCAGTACATTCAATATCTTTCATTTTTTCAATAAGGAAATTAACAATGTTAATAATTGCTTTGCTTAATATAAGGCAAATAATGTACAATTACATAATTCATTTCTAAGAAATAATTAAACGTCGTATCGTTAACAAAAAATAATGTTTTTACGCGATAACATTTTAATAATAATGTTTATTAATAATAATTCAATTATTTCCATCGTTGTTTTTATTATATTTTAACTTCTTTATCTTTCCATCGAAAGATTCCGACATTACTTTTGTATGAGGAAAACTTGTTGGCACTGCTTGTGCTTTTAATTTTTTGGAACCATTCTGTCGCGGTTTTTCCCACATTTCTTTAGTAAAATGAACTTACAAATACAATTAGATGAGAAACATTTGTTTTGTTTATTACTTGATATAATTACATGCTTACCTCACAAATTGCTGAATATTGTTTCGGTTTCCAGTTTTCTCTTCCAATTTGTTTCAACCATATAATTTATTGTTTTTTATTTATTGGAAAACATTTCATATAGAAGCCATTTTCGCTTCTATTTCTGCATCCCGGTATGCAACAATCAGTCATTTTTAAAATATTTTTATAAATATTTTAATATATAGTCCTCTTATTGTGTTGGAAGTATTTTCCAAGATGAAATGATGTTATGTCATCACTTGCATGTGCACGCGTAAAAACCGAGATTACAGTAGGTGCAGTACAGGTGTAGCCATTTTGTATCCAAGTAGAACATTGGCCAGACTCTTACTATAGGGACTCTAGCCGAGCCAAGTGCGAAGCGCTCTCTGTAAAACCGTGCACATGAACTAACGACACCAGTAGTGCGATTCTTTGGCTGCATTCAGCAGAACAAAGTGATCAGTGAGCGCTTAGTGATTCACGCTCCTGATTGGTAAATACTTCTGGGTCTATGAAGAATCTAAAAGAATGCTCCAATCACAGACAATAATCACTAAGCGCTCACTCATCATTTTGTTCTACTGAACGCAGCCTTTAATGCTTCGTCTACAATCGGGGTCGTAGAGTCGTGGCGGTTGTCGCTTGAGAGATCGTAATCGCTGTCGTTCAAGTTAGGATCGTCTACAATAGAGTCATAAAGTCATAGAATACGGTCGTAGAGTCGTAACAATGGTCGACTGAAAGGTTATTTTCGATCGCAAAACACTTGCAAGCACAGTCGCTTGAGTTGGTTCCAATCCAATTTCAGCGACTATTGTAACGACTTGAGCTACAATAGACCAATCAGAGGAAAGATTTTATATATCACGCTATGTGAACAACGTGGGAAAATGATATCGGTGTGTGGACGGCACTTATTTATTCGTTTTTGATAAAGTCACCTTCACAAGTTTCATCAGTATCACAAGGATCAATGATAAAGAATTTATCAGCAAAATCGCCTACTTGCAATAAAAATTTTAATAATACTTCTGAAGGCAAATGATTGATAAATTACTATTTTCCACAGAAAACTTAATCATTAATTACATTCTTAACACTTCTAAATAAATTTCAGATAGCGAGAATATTGATCCAGCAAATAAGCATAACCTAAAAGCGCCTAAAACAGATATCAGAAAAAGAAGGAATGTAAGTCTTGATGTGAATTCTCTAATTATGGAATCATCACAGGCTGTTACTGCAGCCTGTTCAGATTTGCCAGCATTGCTGAACAGTACAACTTCCATGCCAGATACAGAAGAAGAGAAAAGTATGGTGACAGTCTTATTACATGGAATAAAATGTGTGCCTGTGCAACAAAGAATAAAATGTTTTATCAAACTGTTGGAAATATTGGAATCATTTCAGCATGAGTGAATAATTATATAGTCATTGCTGATAGAAAATATTAAATATATAATTGTCCTATTATAGCATATGTTATAGTGTAGTTGGATTCTATATGGAATATTGTCAGCAATTAGCAGAGAAAGTTATGTAAATGTAGGATGAATTTCTTTATCCAATATTATTTATTCCTTTGGAACGAGAATACAACAGTGTAATGGTGACGCGGTTTACAGTTGAATAGTACATATAAAAGAAAAACACTCTCTCAATATAATTGTCCTTAGCAGCTTACACGCTTCTTCCCTTTCGCTCTCTTCTCTCTCTCTCTCTCTCTCTCTCTCTCTCTCTCTCTCTCTCGCACGCTAGCGGTCTCTAGCGCACGCACGTCTACAACTGACGGAGTCAAAATGAATACTTACTGCGAGCATCAATCAACCACTTAAACTACACAAATCAACGCAGATGAGTTAAACACGAGCAATCGCAATCCTACATAAATGTTATAAAATTGATCTGGTTGGTATATATCTTCAAACTCAATCAAGATTAAAAGCATACCATCAATCAGATTCACGTATTTTTACACAGTTGCAAAACTTTCTTCTCTATATTCTCTATATAACAGTTGTATTGTTAAAAGAAGAAAATTCAATATGAATATTAAAAGCAATACTTTTATGGAATATACAGTTTAATCATGAAACAATAGCCTTGCTTTGTGGTATCAACAGATTTTCACAAGATATATCATCTTATATATTTCCTTTTTATATATCATTTTATATATCTCCTTTTTCTAAGAAAAGGTCCGACAATATGGCACAAATAATCATATTGGATAGGTGTCATTCGTGTCATACTAAAAAATTTTTCATGACCTGTCTCATATACATTTTTGAATTGTTTATTGAAATAACCAAAATAATCTCTGCTTCTATTTATAGGTCTTATCCACTATCTTCTTTGTCTTTTTCGTTTTAGATATAAATATATCGATATTAAATTCAAATGGTAAGCATTTAATAACAAAGAAATATTACAAATTGCACGGAATTCCATTATATTTCTATTTCAATAACACACATAAACACAATCTATCATTTGTATTATTGTACGGGCAATATCCTGCTTTCTGATTGGTTTACACTCCAATCCAGCGACTAATTGAACTTTGTAGAAGTATCGCCATAGGACTAAGTTCGCGACTTTACGACTTTACGACTTCACGAATTTACGACCCCGTTGTAGACGTAGCATAAGGCCCAGTTCCACAACTTGCTTTAAACTCCGTTTAAAGCAAGTTGTGGAACTGGGCCCAACTTGTTATAGGAGTTAACGACAGTTTCGTTATCGTTAACTCCATTAACAAGTTACAGAATCGCACCACAGGGGCTGTATTCCGTACACGCGTACCGGTAGTTGTCGGTATCGTTAGCAGTATTGCGCAGCTTCTTTGTTATATGAAAAACCTGCACAATGCCGCTAACAATACCGACAATTATCGGTACGCGAGTACGGAATACAGCCCCAGTGTGTCCACGGTATCGTAAAGCACCTTGCACAATGCCAGGCAACAGGCAATAAGAACAAAAATAGACCAAACATAATAGATTATTCTTGTAATAGCCGATTGTGATTGGTCTATTTTTATTCTTATTGGTTGTTGCCTGGCATTGTGCAAAGAGCCCTACTGTTAGGTCCACAGTTCTTTACTGATTTCCCACAACAATCACGCACACATAGACGGCTCGGTCTATCCGTGCAGAGAGGAAGTACCGTTGATATCTCCGCTTCTACTGGGCATTGAGAGTCGAAATTTATGGTGAGTATAGGATTTTCACAGGACTATATTTAGGCAAAAAACAGGCCTGTATCTCTAGCTGTTCAGGAGATATCGAAGGTTAAAGTTTTCCAACTTGTACCGTTCATATCTCCGCTTCTACTGGCAGTAGAGAGTCGTCATTTACGGCAAAATGTAGGGTTTTGAGAGGACACTAATTTGGTGCCAGAAACAGGCCTGTATCTCCAATCGTTTAGGAGATATCGAAGGTTAAAGATTTCCAACCTTTCTCCGTTGATATCTCCGCTTCTACTGGGAGCAGAGAGTCGCCATTTACGGCAAAATGTAGGGTTTTGAGAGGACTTTAATTTGGTGCCAGAAACAGGCCTGTATCTCTAACCGTTTAGGAGATATCGAAGGTTAAAGTTTTCCAACATTTCTCCGTTGATATCTCCGCTTCTACTGGGAGCAGAGAGTCGCCATTTACGGCAAAATGTAGGGTTTTGAGAGGACTTTAATTTGGTGCCAGAACCAGGCCTGTATCTCTAACCGTTTAGGAGATATCGAAGGTTAAAATTTTTCAACCTTTCTCCGTTGATATCTCCGCTTCTACTGGGAGTAGAGAGTCGCCATTTACGGCAAAATATAGGTTTTTGAGAGGACTTTAATTTGGTGCCAGAACCAGGCCTGTATCTCTAACCGTTTAGGAGATATCGAAGGTTAAAGTTTTTAAGCGTTTCTCCGTCGATATTCAGCCTTCCTCCGTCGATATCTCCGCTTCTACTGGGAGTAGAGAGTCGTCCATGTAGTCGAAAATGTAGGGTTTTGAAATGTAGGGTTTTGAAAGGACTTTAATTTGGTGCCAGAACCAGGCCTGTATCTCTAACCGTTTAGGAGATATCGAAGGTTAAAGTTTTCCAACCTTTCTGCGTTGATATCTCCGCTTCTACTGGGAGTAGAGAGTCGCCACTTACGGCAAAATGTAGGGTTTTGAGAGGACTTTAATTTGGTGCCAGAACCAGGCCTGTATCTCTAACCGTTTAG